TCCATGATGGGCTCAGCAAGCCCACTGCCCAGCAGGCCAAGCACGGGAGGTCCCATCGGCTCCCGGGGCTGGCGGATCTCGATTCGATCGAGACCTTCCAATCTGGTCCCGGCGTCAAATACGGGAACAGACCGGGCAAGACGTCTCGCCGGATTCCCGCCGCGCTTACCCGGTCAGGCCCGTGCATTACGCAACTGGAACCCTGCATCCGAATTCCTTCAAATAGTGTCTACTTGGCGATGATGGTTCGATGGTGGATCTTCAGTGGGTCATAACACAATTGGGATGCTGAGGAGCAAACAGATTGAATTACGGTCGAACCGCATTCAGATTGGAACAGGCATCCATTCTCTGACCGACGTCTCGACGCAAGCAACGTCGCTCGTTTCCGCTATCTGCTAGTCCTCCGCCGTCCATTCGCCTCAATAAAGCACTGGGCGCTCTTTTCCGGCTTCCATGCGACCTTCACCGTCCAGTCCTGAGTCCACTCATCAACTTCCTGCTCGCGCGCGTTCCTCAGGACCCAGAGCCACAAATCTCCCATTCGCATAAACCGCTCCTTCGCCATTGTCGATGTCCCTTGCTCGGGCAACGCACTGTCGTTGATGAGGATGCGGCTTCCCTTGCGGAGTACCGGCACCAATGCCTCGAGGATCCTGACACAGTACGTGTCAGAGAAGCAGTGGAAGACCAGGCGGAGGAAGTAGGCATCAGCCACTTCGGTTTGCGGGCTAAAGATGTCGTGTGCTGTCAGTTGACGCGATCGGCCAGCTCAGGCGGCACCTTTGCGATGGACTCTGGCGTGCGCATCCCTGTCTTGTCCTTTACGATGAAGCTGAGCTGAGGAACTCTCTGACAACAGCCATGGCTATTGTAGGCTTGGTTTCCACCGATCTTCATGTGAATCGTCAGCCACGCCAACCCGTCCGAGTTTCTCACCAAGGCCCGGGCCGACCTCGACCGCTACGGCGGTTCGGTCCGTGCGGAGACGGGCACCATAGGCAAGACCCTCAAACAGCGCGACGAGGACGGCTTGTTCGAGGCCGTCACCTCTGAGGGCAGACAATGTAGTCAGAAAAGGTCATCCTCGCCCCGGGGGTGAAGGACGTCTTTCCTGATGACATCCCGGGTTATGAGGATTGTTGAGTCTCGGGCATGTGAGTACCTACCTTACGTACCTTAGCTACTAAACCTAATCATTGCTCATTGTACTAAAATTATTAAACCGTAGCTTCCACTACCTTATTGCCACGGGTGGGAAGAAAAGGGCGTGCCCTCGGCCAGCATGCTCGCGTAGGGCGATGTGTCCAACGTGGTCGTGGCGCTGCACTTTGCGCGGCGCGGCGGCGGACCCTCCGCATGGTGACCGACACCGTCACGCTCTACACCAACGGCAACGAGACCTTGGCCACGGATTTGACCGCCGCTCTGGGTGCCGCTCCCGCGCCCATGACGGTCGATTCCCACAAGATCGCCAGCCTTGTCAAGGCCCCTGAGTGGGCACGGTCACGGTGCACTTCGCCGACGGGACCTCCAAGACCGAAGGGTTCCTGGCCCATAAGCCATCGACTAAGTCGAGGGGGGACTTGGCGAGCCGGCTCGCGCTAAGGCTCACTCCCGGGGGCACGATTGCGGTCTCGCTGCCCTTCAACCGGACGATCGTGAAGGGTGTGTTCGCAGACTGTGCAAACCCCATGCAGACGGTGAATGCCGCGCTGCACTCGGGGACTTGCACGGGGAGAGGGCTTCAAATCTGCAAGCAACGTGAAGAACCCCATCCAATTTGGGTTGATTCGGCATCCCAGGTTGCAGCTATCGGCTGGTGGGTTGCTCGAGGACTTTCTGACCAGTTAACCGTAGCTCAATTGCAGGTTGCCTGGCGCCACGATTCTCCAGATGCCAAACTGGCATATGTAAAATAGGTGCTATGACTCGGGCGCTCAGCGCGCCCGGCCACGCGGCCTCTTAGATGCTGCCTTGCAGGTGGGCGTTTCTGTGCTGGTTACGGAAATGCGGGTATCGATTGGAAATCTATATATCTAATGGAATGTGATATGAGCACCGGAGCTTCCTTACCGTCGAAACCTCCCAGCTTGCAGCCAGTCACAGCACGCACGGCCTGCGTTTGGACTTTAGTGGTGGTGGCGGGCTGTCCCGCTACTGATTTTGGCGCTGCAATCAGAACAAGGAGTTGACCAATGATGAAACCAATGATGAATGAAGGGAGATGCCTCGACCACGGTTGAGAGGGCTCTTCAACGCCATGGCGGATGTACTGCAACCACACGCAGCCAGCATGTCTAGGCTCTGCGCAGCCTCGTCCCATCACTACGGTGTCGAGGTCGACGAGCAGGACACGTTGACAACCAGTCAGATATAAAATTCCCACGGCCCGAAGCGATGTTAGGAGCCTGACGATAAAGTGCCATCTTTCAATTTGTTTTCCTGGCCATCTATTTGGGAGGCGCTTGGTGGTATATATGGCAAATTGCACGCTGTATATGAATGTGACGAACCTGGCCTTTACGACCGAGTCGTATTGGTCAATTCAGAAGAACATCTCGGACCTGTGCCCTAACCACCCTTACCTCAAGCCGGACACCGCCACCCTGACGACAGAGGCAGCCAGGCACCTCGCGGGCCTGAGCAACGATGACTTCATCTCAATCTGGCAGTTCTGGACGTACCCAACAGATCTCATCCTGGTTCGATTTCAGGTATGTAACTCACACTCCTGTCGCACCAGAGACAAGAGCTTATATATATCTGCTTGTAATTAGGCCTGGAAGCTGCCCCTGATTGCTCTGGTCGCTCTGTTCCCCCGACCACCACACAGCAAGACCATCGGACTCCTTGCCCTCTTCAACCTCCTCGGCAACCCCATCAATACCATCGCGAGCTTGATACTCACTCTGGATTGCACCAGGCTGCTGGTGCAACGCTTTCGCCGGCAGAATGGTATGAGCTACAAGAGATGTCTTGAGTTGGTGCTGCTGGTCAGCACGCTCAGGTATGTCGGAGATGAGGAAGATGCGGCGGATGTTGAAGATACAGTTTGGGAAGATAAATCACTGGATACAAACAGGCCCATGGCCGTCAACACCGAACGCTGGACAACGCAGCATGAATCTACCGCGCATGCTCTTGCCGCTGATCGCACGACCAGCTTCTTGCCCGTCTTAGTGACTCTCTCCACGCTACTAATCTCGATTTTCTTCGCGTATGGCAAGGTGGTGAGAGCGCCGTGGCGTCCCAGCGAGCCTTGGCATGTCGATATATACAGTATTGCTTTCAGCATGACTCTTCTCGCTTGGGTAAGTGATAAGCGAAACTCGGATGTGCCTCGGCCACCTTTTCCTGACTTTGTCTCGGGAGCAAAACAATGTTCTTGAAATTTCTAACTCCAAGTGCCATGGCGCAGGTTCCCGGTGTCCTTTTTGCTTGCACTATCGGTATGCCCCAGAGCGGTGCCAGCCCATGCCGTATCCTCCGCAACAGCGGCCTCCACCTGCCAAACCTGCCGCAGAAGAAGAACGAGATTCCCGGGATAATCATCAACTTACCTCCCAGCGCCGTCCCGTCCTGGCGGTACGACAGATGGCCATGGATGAAACACCCCCCCGAGACAAGTTGGCGTCGCTGGCTCTGCCACGAAGTGACAGCCCTGGTCCTGGTGACGATCGGCGTGACCGGAGCGCTCGTGCAATCATACTTCGTCCCCCCCGGTGGCTTCCTAAGCTGTCGCCTAAAGGCCCAGCTCACAATATGCGTCACGTACATAATCTCGTACGTCTTCGGAATTCTTTTCGACACTTGGTGCCACTGGGACCGGCGGCTTCATTTTTGGCTCGTCATGAGCAAAGACGTCGTGTCGCTACTCATTGTCGCCACCATCGTGGCCATTACCGTCGCGGGAAGCCTCAACACCCCCATCTGCTGGGTATCCCGCGATAGAGACTGCATGGAGCTGCCCGAGGGGACGAAGGACGTGGTCTACGATAGACTTCGGTCATTTTATCCCATCACCATGGGTTTGACCTTTGGACTTCTGTTGGTTGCCTCACTGGCCGTAGCTGGGTTTTTGTACGACGGGATGGCGGTTTATGTGCAGACGGACGACGACGAGACTCCATTTCAGTGGCTTCGGGAGGCGACTCAAGCGTTGTGTTCGGTTGTCGCGAGGAAGAAGAAGAAGAAGACAAGAGGCCGCCGACGCCGGAACGAGTGCGAGTTGGGATCGTCGCTTGAAATGCATGGTCCCATGGATATCACCGTTGAGATAGATGACTACCAATAAAACAAACCCTACTGGTCCGCGCAAGTGGCGGAAGTCGTTTGAATCTGGCTCTTAATTTGATCATATAAGCTATTAGGATATCTCATTCCGGAACCACTGAGTTGCCGGCCCGTGTTGCGCTGTGTGGAAACACAGACAAATATGAACAGTAGTAGGTGCGAAACCTACTCAGCCCAATCTTTTAGAGGAGCAGTACCAGCACCATAGCTCACACTCGCTCACTGGATTAAACCTCGCCAAGACCCAGACAGACAAGCGTAGCACTCAACACAAGGCACCAACGTTTGAGACAGCTTTTTTTCTTGGAAGATCATCTTTTGGATCCCGGCTGGTTAAAGAAGACGATTCGTGTCCAATTACATCCGTATTGGCTTCTGTCTGCTTTGGTGTTGTCATTCGCCAAATTAGGAAAATCGGCGATGAAAATGTGGCTGAGTGTTATCGTGACTGTTTGCATGGTTGCATCTAGTCTTGCAGGGGCCTGAAATGTCCTATTGCCGCCTGCATGAGACACTCCAGCTGAGGAAACAGGGAGCCTTCGCTCGAGGTAATGGGTTGATGCACGACCTCGGACATACGGCAAGTCAGACTTTTGTGAGGTTCTCATTACATATCTCAAACCTCCCCGATATTAGTCGTATCATGACTAATAAATATACCCTTTTCAGACACCGGACAGAAACAAAGAAGCGGCAAAGCCTATGTCCCCGTAGCTCAGTGGTTTTAGAGCGCCGGTAGCCTTGCATTACTAAAAAAAGCATTGATTTAACTTGACCTTAATGAGTGAAAAGTGCAACGATAACGAGGTCCGCGGTTCGAATTCGCGTGGGGACACACATTACTTTTTGTTCTTTATCTTTTCCCATTTTCTTCTCCTTAGACCTAACGAGTAGCCAACACGAATTTGACCTACCTTGTACCATACCCTCAATCATAGCAGACTAAACAGACAGACATCCACCACTAACAGGTCGGAAACTCCCCCTTATGGTGGCAGCAGTCCCTATGTTCGATATCAGTCTCTAAAAGAATATCCTTCTGGCCATACATCTCAGTCTGGGTCTGGAACGGCATGGTAATGATTCCACGTTAATAAGAGACTACTACACTTGGTAATGTACACACAATTCCCACCTTGGAGCTCCTACTCTGAACTACTTACCCTCATCAACGAAGCATATACCTTCCCTCCACCTCCCTGAGCACCACATATATTCCCATTCTTCATCTCGTCTCCCGGCTTGCATTGTTCCCCAGCTACAACAATGACCTGTCCATCGGCCTGAACTCTGTTTGTCATGTTGCTATACAGTTTTTAGCTAACCAGTTTCACAACATATCAAACAAAAGAAAGAGACCTAAACTCACCTGCTAAGATCCAAACAATCCCACTCCTGATAAAGCTCCAACAGCCCGACTTTGTCATAATACTGAAACAGCGTCGCCGTCATATCTTCTTCCGTCGCAGCGCTTCCCTCGGAGTCGGGGGTAATCGCGTTCACGCAGTACCCCTCTGGATACAAACCGCGCCGATAACACAGCGCGTTGTATCCCGTCATCGGGTTGGACAGGCGGAAAATGATGGACCCGCCATCAGGGAGGGTGTAGTCGGTCTCCCAGGCCGAGACGGTCCACAGCAAAGGGGACGCGGTGGTGGTTTGATTGCTAGAACTAATAGAACTGTTGCTCGCAGTACTATCCGGTCTAGAAAAAGGGGCGGGACAGCTGGATAGTGGTGAAGATGAAGTCGGCGATGCCTTACTCAGATGAGACAGAGTCATAAGGAGGAAGGAGAGGAGGAGAAAGGAACGATTTATTGGTAGCTGAAGGTAAAGCATCTTGGTCGTTTACGTTGTAGGTTGCTTCACTTGCTTGCTTGGCGTCTTAGAAACTAGAACTAGTGTGGGTGAGATAAAAGAGATTCTTGACAACAGTCGGGTAAGATTCATGTTGAGGGGGTGGTTAAGGGTCATCGGCGTCGACATAGTCTGAGTTTCGGCTAAATGCTCACGTAAAGTGAAAGTTGTTCCAATTTTCTCGCCATAGTAGGTGGTATGGATAGACGTAGCCGCGGCGGCCTCGGGTAAATGTTGAACATGCAACTGCCGCATGGGACTAACTCTATATATGCTTTCGGTGCCGAATAACCTCATGATGATTCATTATGGGTAGGAGTGGTTGTTAGCTGTTCCTTCGATATGTGTTGTTGGACATTCAGGGGTTGTTTGGTGAGGCAGAACTGTGCCGTGGAACGACTGATCCTTATGACATTTCACTCCCCCATCGTCCGCCGATATTGTGGCCGTTATAGTAGAGGTTCTACCGTCTGGGATCAGGTACTTCGCCGTATGCAAGAATACCTATAACTACCTATGTCTTCGGGTGCTGGGATACCAGCAAGAGTTGGCCCGTAAACAGTCAGTCAGTCACCTTTGATAGGAAAGGGGTACCAAAGAAAGAAGAAACAACTCGGTCCCTGGTCTACCGGGATGAGCCGGTGACAGGTTTCGGCAGCTGACCCTGGGTCCCGGAATGACATTCAGGGGTCCTCTTGGCAACACTCCGAGTGACGTCATACTGGACCCCATCGTGAACAAAACCACAGCACGATGATGACACCGCTACCTTATTAAATTCATCATCTACCCCAACAAACTCGACAGATATCTAGATCTCGAACTTCAAACAACACTCTCAACACCTGGGTCAAACAAGTCAAAACAAACAACACTCTTAAACCCCTCTCCCACCAACTAACACCACAAAAAACAACATGTCCGACCTAATCGAATCCCTCAAGGATGCGGTCAACCCTTCGCGGCGTGAGTCCGCCACAAGCCCAACCTACGACCCCAAAGAGCGCGGCCCATACCCCGACCGTCGACCAAGAAGCGATAATCAAGTCGACCCCCCAACCACAGAAGCAAGACAACATAGTGATGGAATCTGCCGCGTCGTCGGTAACAGAACCCAACAAGTCACCGAAAATGGCAACCAACAAAGGGTTTAATGCCCCTGAGGGAACATATGGCCCACACAGCTCGCGGATCGCAAACGCATTGGATCCGCGGGTAGATTCGGATCTTGATGGCCATCCGAAGAGTGGGCTGCATGATTTTGGTGGCGTTGCAAAAAGGGGAAGAATAGAAATAATGGAAGCATGAATGTGTTTCTTTTGGACTTGAGAGCTGATTAGGCTCTTGGTGCTTGTGTTCAGATGGCAGTTATGGAAATCTGGTTGGAAAAGGGTGTACGATAAATAATTTCAGTGGAACGGTGCGGCATAAGGACAGGGTACCTTCGTACTCGGGATGGAGACTGGCGGTTCAGGTTGTTTATTTCCATGGCCGGACATCAGTGTTTTAGACAGACTGGAGAAACTTGGTTCGTTAGTGTCTGTTGTTATCAACGAAGAGGTTGAGTAGACCAGATGTAAATGACAGGTACTTTACAAAGGGGCTTTGATTCAAACCAACGGAAGCATAAACACTATTTAATGGTAGGTTTTTGAAGCCATAAACAGTAAGCTTGGACTAAAGACATAGTGTTCATATCCATTATTACCAAATCAGCCATAATTACCTCTCTTAACTCCTGAACCCGAGCCCGTTTCTTTCATTCCTCATCATTTATCCATCGTCAAAGGCATATCCAACCTCGTAATTCTTAATCAGATAGTCATAACTCATATCTGCCAGTCTGCCCCTAGACACAAGGCCCGTCGTACAGAATAACGTGATCAGGAGCTTTATCACCACTAAACGGGATCTGGACCAGAATGGTTGGTTCGTCGCTCGGAAACTCGGTATAGTGGCCCGCGATGGTGCTGACGGACTTGAGATCCGCCGCTATCAGCACAGAGGACTTGGTCGTGCCGGGCATTATGTATGCCATGTGAGTCTCCGGACGACTGGGGGCTTGTGCCACCGTTTCTGGTAGTTGGTCGTCCACGACGCTGGAGGTCATGGACGAGTCGTTTACTACTGTCTTTGGATCGCTGTTTCCGTTGTCAGGTGCCGGGGACGTGATTCTGATGAGGCCGTTGAGGATTATGGATAATCTGTTCTCATTGTCAATTACGTATATGCAAGAATATACACTGATCGGTAGGAGAGTGGTTGTGACAGACTGGACATGAGGTGCCCAAGCCTCGCCGATATGGGTGCGCGGTTCGATCCTCGACCAAGCAGCCGCCGTGGTGTTTCCGACGGCATAATTGGCCGCTTGCATGGCGTCGACGGGGATGGAGGCGAGCTGCCAGCATTCTAGCACCGAGTATCCGTCCCGGGAAGACAGCGCTGTGATGTTGAACGGGGTAAAAGCGGCACATATCTGAACGATGGTGAGACTGAGTAGGGTATACTTGATGGCTAGCGGCATTTTGATATAGATAGATGGACCCATGAAGAATAGAGTTTGGTATAGTTGGTTGGCCTGTCGGCTGGTGGAAACGACGGTTCACACTGGCGTTCGAACGGTCCACTTGTCAACGATGTCAACGGCCGCAAGCGCGGAAAACGGGTCCGGGGAAAGTCGTGGGACATATAGATAGGGTTTGAAAGGTGGCGTCGGCTGAGCTTGGGATCGGCGCACCGGACGTCCGGTACATATGAGACAATGCCGCGCAATGTCAGCCAACGCCAGGCAATGCCAAAGTCAAATGCAAAGTTCCTTGATAGGATAAGTTCGCCATTTAGCTCGATTAAAGCTTACTTCAAACCCCCACGTACTCGATTAATATGCTGGTCAGGGTTGACTTCCCAACCGATTTGGGCTTGCTGTCCTTTATGCCAGAAACATATGTACATATTCCCACACAAGTCCCCTCAGACATCCTTCCCATGCAGTATCTGCTTAAAGATCTCGTAATTCCCCTCCCCATTAGGATCATACACAGCAAAGCAAACATCTCGCCACCAGTTCCCAGAAAACTCGTCTTCCCTCAGAACCTCAAGCCAGCAATTTGCCACATCCTCAGGCGGGTTCTCGAAAACACCACACCCCAACGCACCAAGCACAAGCATGCGATGCCCCTTCGACGCAGCCATCCTCAAAACCAATCTCATCTTATCCTTGGTCAAGTTCCTGTCAGAATTGCGCGCAAACACTCGCTTCTCCCTTGGTAACGCCCCGCTACCAGCACGGCTTTTTACATCGAAAACCTTGACGTCAGGATGATAAAGCGCCGCAACCGTCAACACGCTCACGACGGGAAGATGCTCCACCGGCACGTTTGGGTACAAAATGTTATGCCCCTGAGCAAGCGAGTCGCGCACCACAAGCACATGCGGACTGTAGAGCGCCTCGTTTGTGGACAGCGGGTAGGAGGCGCTGTCGAGCGACATGGCTAGGGAAGAGCGGTAGCAGATGGCTTCTTCTTGGGCAAGCGCACCGTTAAGCCAGCCGCCGCCGGGGCTGTGGCGGTTGGCGAAGTTGACGACTGCCGGGTACGGGCTGCTGCCCAGGTTAGGAGGTGAGTCGTCGTCGGAGAGAAGGCGCCGCTGCGACATGTCGATTGCCGCGTTGAGGGTGTCTTCGTTTATTACACCGATGGTGGCCGGGGCGGGGTACGCTGGGCAGAGGTTCGGATCCAGGTAGGGGAGGTTGTTGAGGGTGAATTTTCCGCATTTTCGGACGGCATCGTCGCCTGTGGGGCCGAGTTTGGAGGCGATTGTGGGTAGAATTGAGATTTGTTCTTGGGCGATGGCGCGGAGGGTTTCTCTCTGCCGGTCGGAGTCGGTGGTTGCCATTGGGGCCTCAGAACGGTGACCGTTCAACGGTCTGGCCCGGTGTGGAGGTCGGGGATGAGCGGATTGACGCCAATGTTGCAGATT